TGCTTGAACTTAAGCATCAAATTGCCTTTCCTGCTATGATAAAAGCCCAGAAGAAACTAGCAACAGAAAGAACAAACCTCAACATAATAAAGGCTACATACAACAATACTATAGCCAACATTTATACTAAATGGGGTTGAGAGTATTACCTCTAAAATCTGAAGCCAGATACAGGTGCCCACTGTCTCCACTCTTACTCAGTATAGTGTTTGAAATCTTAACCAAAGCAATAAGACAAGAAAATGAAATAATAAATACATGTGTAGGGAATGCTGGAGGAGATACCTCAGTACTCACATGGTGGTTCACAACCATCTGTCACTCCAGTTCCAGGAGATTTGCTGTCCTCTTCTGATCACTACAGGCACCAAACACATGCATGGTACACATATATACATGAAGGCAAAGCACTCACACATAAAACAAAATGGATAATTTTAAATTTTTAAAAAATAACACTAATAGGACAGGAAGAAATCAAATTATCTGGATTTGTAGACAACATAAGACTGTACTTAAAAGACCCTAATATTCCAGCAGTATCTTAGCCACTGTTCTATTGCTGTGAAGAGACACTGTGACCAAGGCAACTCTTCTAAAAGAAAACATTTGACTGGGGACTTGCTTAATAGTTTCAGAGGTTTAGTGAGGAGCATGGCAATTCCATCCTGATCTGTAAGCAGAGAGAGACAGAGATAGAGAGACAGGGAGAGCCTGGGGCTGGCATAGGCTTTTGAAACCTTACTACTACTCCCCAGTGATACATTTCCTCCTACAAGGCCACACCCTCTAATCCTTCTATACTTTCAACAGTTCCACTCCCTGGTGACTAAACACTCAACTATATGAGCCTATGGGGGCCATTCCTATTCAAACCACCACAATCAGAAATCTCCAGATCTGACAAATGCTTCCAGAAAAGTGGAAAATACAAAATCAACATAGTAAAACCAGTAGCTTTTCTATATATTAATGAGAAATTAATTGAGAAAGAAATTCAGGAAGAAAAATCTATTCACCATAGTTTCAAAAAATGGCTAGAAATAAACGTAGACAAAGTGATGAAAGAGATCTGCAATAAAAAAAGAAAAATGACATTAGGAAATAAAAAGACCTCCCATGTTTGTGGATAGGCAGAATTAATTTTGTAAAAGGGCTGTATTACTAAAAACAACTTACAGATTCAATATAATCCCTATCAAAAGCCCAATGAAATTCTTCACATAACTAGAAAAAAACCCTAAAATCCCCTCTTTATTCTCTATGATGTGCTCGGGAAGCATTCAGGACCAAGCAGATTTACTGGGGTGTTGATAGGGAAAAGCACCACAGCCTCAACACAGTTCCTTGACTTTCCCTAACATGATGTGATGTTTTAGCAGAATCTCTGTGGTATTGGAGGGAGGCCCAGAACCAGGCCAGGACTCAGTATGAGTGGTTCCATAAATGTAAAGCCAAAGCTCACCTGATGGAAAAGTGTTGTTAGGTTGAGACTACTCCATCCCCTCACCACCCCCCAGAGCTCCTCAGCCTTCCCTGTACCTAGTGCACCACTACAGTCTCAAATTGATCTGGGTTCTTTCTGCACAGTAACTGAACAACATGAGAGATGCTGGCACTTCCCTGTGCATGGGCACTGCAGGAAGACCTGCCGAGTAACAGAAAAAGGTCAGGTGCTGTGTACAAATGGGAGATCCTGTTGCCTCCGCACCAAGGAACTAAGGGGGGAAGTTATGATGACTTCTTGTAGTTTGATTTTCTTTTGGGGACCACCAGCTCCCAAATAATGACACAAACTTTTTATTAATTATGCTTGATTTTAGCTTAGGCTTATTCACAATTACATCTTATAACTCAAATTAGCCCATTTATATTAATCTACATTCTGCCACATGGCTCGTAACCTTTCCTCCATAATGTATGTCTGCTTTCCTCCATGTCTTGCTGGCAAATTCCACATGCCTAGATTCATCTCCCTGAGTTCCTCTCTCTGCCTAGAAGTCTTGCCTAACTGCTCCTGCCTAGCTAGTGGCCATTCAGCTTTTTATTAAACAAATCACAGTAACACATCTTCACACAGTGTAAACAAATATCCCACAACATTTCCCCTGCTGTGGAATAATCCTTCTGTATACATGAGAAAAGGTACCAAGCTACATGACAAAGCATAGATAAGAAATATGAGTTAATTTAAAATGTAAGAGTTGACTAGTAACAAGCCTGAGCTATTGGCCAATCATTGTAATTAATATTAAGTCTTTGTGTATGTTATTTGGGAACTGGCAGGCAGTAAAGAAACTTCTGCCAAGTCTTCCACCCATGAGTATGAGCCCAGTCCTGCATTTACCCATCCTAGCTCTGGGAAGCTGTTGGGCCTGCGCTGTAGCAGGAGTTCCTATCTAGTCTCCCATCCTACCTAGTAGTGCACCATTCAAGTGCTCAGCCACATAGCAGGACATCTTAAAGGGGCCGAACCTCTGTAGGCCACAAGCAGTGGGCTCCGTGTATGTGCCCCACATTGGGCGTCAATTGTAGCTTGATTTTCTTTTTGGGGCCACCAGCTTCCAAATAATGACACAGACTTTTTAATTCATCACAAATGCTTGACCTTAGCTTAGGTTTGTTCACAACTAGCTCTTATAACTTAAATTAACCCATTTGTATTCATCTATGTTCTGCCACGTGGCTCATACCTTCTTTCATAATCCACATCTCACTGACAAATTCCACACACCTAGATTCATTCTCCCAAGTCCCTCTCTCTGCCTGGAAGTCCTGCCTAACCTCTTCTGCCTAGCTAGTGGCCATTCAGCTTTTTATTAAACCAATCACAGTGACGTAATTTTACACAGTTTAAACAAATATCCCGGCAACAACTCCTCACCCCAAACCACAGGCCTGTGGGTTTGCTCTTCCCAAAGATGGTGATCTAGATGTGAAGAGTGTCTCCACCCACAACAGCATACCACATATATCCAAATTCAACTCTCTTTGTCACCTATTCCATTATGCTGAGGTGACAAGACCCACAACTTCTTAATTTCTGGGATGTCTTTCAAGCAGACTTGAATAAAGATTTATGCCAAATTTTTTGACTTCTGTTTTAACCTAACTAAGTACTTGTGTGGGGGGGGGCAGTGGGCAGCTCCAGAGCCTCAGAGGGCTGGGACCCAGTGGCTGAAGTAGATACTATGTCCCCTTGAACAGGCCTGGAGTATGGGATCTCAAGAAACTACCAGCTACAGAGTCAGGTCTTGTGGCACAGCCTGGAGCTTCTAGCCAGGAGTCCAGGGTCTTTAGTGGTCTGCAAAGCACTGGACTTTATTGAAACAGGTGTGATATAGGGGTCTGAGTCAATACTCACCCTTTTCCTCCTACCTGTCCAAACAGAGACCCCCTCTTTTCTCTGCTGCCTGAGGATGGTGGAAGATCGGTGGGTACTCTAAAGCACCCTTCCCACCTTTTCCAGTGTCTTCTTTTTTTTTCTATTACCAAACAGCTACTTGGGGTTCTTTTGCTCTATCCAGATAGGAGCCCTGAGTGGCTGAGCAACTCTTCCCAGGCTGATCTTTGAGAGCAGTGAGGGAAGGCTACAGATAAGTTGGAACAGTAATAGGTGGCGCCCTCCAGTGCCCTGAGCTGGAGTGCCTAAGACCCTGGGTCCTGGAGGCCTTTCTTGAACTCTAACAACGAGTTTAGGGCCAGCCCAAGTAACTTTGTGAGACTCTGTCCCAAATTTTTACTTCTTTAAATTAAAAAAAAAACAAAGAACTGATGGAAGAGGATACTGGAGAGATGATTCTGCCATTAGAGGATGTACATTAAGAGCTATCTCCCTGCTCATCTCGCAGTGGCCCAGAGTTGGATTCCCAGCACTGAACAGCTCACAACTTCCTAACACTCGTTCTAAGAGATCTGACACCATCTTATGTCTCTGTGGGCATGGCGTTCACATGTACAGACCCGCACACACACACACACACACACACACACACAATTAAAAAATAAAATATTTTAAGAGGACTGGGGCTATAGCTCGGCACACACGTTTGAGGCTCTAAGTTCAATGTCCAGAACCGCGACAGAGGCGGACAGATTCCTCATGACCAGCACTGTAAACAAAGCGGCCCCCAGTGTCCTCACAGAGGCTGCTGTTTTGTCCATCTGGAGAGCCTTTCCCGCTATCCTGGGCTTCAGCACTGTGGTGCTGCTCATGACCTGCTTCTTAAGTGCAGCGCACCTATAAGGCCTTAAATCCCACAGTACTAAACAGATCAACCGATGCGATCAATGTCCTCAGAGCTGCATTTGTCTGAAGATGAGGTCAACTAGGTATTCTAGTTGCCAGTAAAAGAGAAGGTGGGATGCACACCAAAGGGGTCCAGATCGCATCCTAAGCTTCTTACCCGCTGTTTCCCTGATCATCAAAGCTGAGCCGGTACACGTTAGGAACACGTCCGGGTATCTTTCCTCACTCTAATGAACTCTTGGTGGTTAGCAAAAGCTGTGTGTGTGTGTGTGTGTGTGTGTGTGTGTGTGTGTGTGTGTGTGTTCTCACAGCTTCTTAGACATAAGAAATTTCACTAGAGAGTGGGAAGGGGTGGACGAGATAACACAGCAGGTGAAGGAGGTGCTTGCTGCCAAGCCTGATAATCTGAGTTCAATCCCTGGGACCCACACAGTGGAAGGAGAGAACTGACTCCTTAAAGTTGTCCTCTGAGCTCCACACACACACACCACCATGACACACACATGTCATGATGCATGCACAAGTATGCATGCACAAGCACACATACTAAAACGTCCAAAATTATTCTTTATTTTTTTAAAAGAGGAGAAATACCTGAAATTTCTGAAATACTACCTTGGGTAGAAAGTGCAGACACTAACTGCCTACCTCTCCAGGGTTCATTTCCTCTGTGACCCCATTTCACAGGCAAAAAACACAAGCGTTACAGCAGCTATTCATTCACAGTCAAAATAGACAGAAAAGGAGTGGATACAGGCAAAAGTATCGAACTTTATTATGTGGGGAATCGAGTTCACAGGAGGAAAGAGACGGGTCTGAGGCTGCCCACTTGATTCCACAGGTTTGAAGGACACCGGCCTCGAGGAACAAATGGTTCATTTAGATAGTGATGGTAAAGTATGTGATGGTGGGCAGGATAAAATAGTCTTGGATTCCTTTGGACTTCTCCTTGTGTTGGGTTGGCTGCTGGGCGATTTTTTGCTTTTCGTTTTCCAGTTCATTGACGCAACAGTATTTCCCACGCCGGCATCCCACCTCCGATACCTCCCTTATTCTGCATTTCTTCCTGCAGTAGCCTGCTACATTGTTAAAACATTTTTTGGGTTGCACACCATCTGAACACAAGAAACAACATTGATCAGGGTGAGTTTCTGAGGAAAAGCAGAGATACAGCTAGGTTTCACATTCTCAGGGACCACAGACACCACCCTCTGCCAACATCTCCTCTGTCCCAAAAGGAAATCTTCTGCTGATGCCGGGAAAGTCAGAACACCCAAATTAAGGACATTCGAGGGGCTGGAGAGATGGCTCAGCAGCTAAGAGTGCTTGCTGGACTTACAAAGGACCCAGGTTTGGTTCCCAGCACCCACATGATGGTTCACAGCTATCTGTAATATTCCAGAGGCTCAGCATCCTCTTCTGGCCACTATGGGAACTAGACACACATGTGGCACATATACATATATGCTGACAGAACATTGGACACGTGAAATTAATCTTTAATTTAACCAAAGGACAGTTGGTTCTGGTCAATACCCAAATAACCTTGACAAGAAGGAAGAGGGGAAGGCCTGACTCCCCCTCACAGCCCGAGCTGGGTATCACCCTAAATCAGGCAAAGCCCACCCTGCTTCGTGCTCTGAAGCCAGCATCCCCACAGCCTTGTTTCCCCCAGAGAGCACAAATGCATCACCATCAGTATACTTCAGAGGCAAATCAGCTTTTAAAAGAGCATCCCAGGCTGGGCTAGCAGCATGTCCCTGCAGATGAGGACATCTGCCATGAAAGTCTGTCAGCCTATGCTCAGTCTCTGTAACCCACACCGGGTGGAAGGAGAAAGTAAGTCCACAGAGTCATCCTCTGACCTCTGCTTACACCCCATGGCACACAGGCAACCACAATTACACCTCACATATATACAATAATAATCAAATAAAGTTTAATTTTTTTACATGGCTTCAAGAGACTGAACTCAGGTCCTCATTCTCACACAGCAAATACACTCTTACTGAGCCACCATGGCCTCGGTAATTTTTTTTTTTTTTTATTGAAAAGACTATCACAGAGGTCAGGAGAGATGTCTCAGGAGGTTAAAAAAAAAAAGACTTCCTGCACAACATCTGAGTCCAAACCCCCTGTGCCCACATAGAAAGACAGATGTGGCTGTGTCCATAACCCCAGCACTCACTGCTGGGGGACAAGGTAAAGTCAGGGGGTCGTGGGGCTTGCCAGCTGCCAGCCTAGCTCCAGGTTCAGCAAGAGAGACCATCTCAAGGGAGCGAGGCAGAGAAGGGTAGGGAAGGACATCAGGGTATGGGGATGGATATGCACAACACACACACACACACACACACACACACACACACACACACACACACAGGGTAGGGAAGGACACCAGGGTATGGGGATGGATATGCACAATACACACAACACACACACACACACACACACACACACACACACACACACACACAC